AAAGAAGAATTAGCAGCATTATTAAACAACAATACATAACATACTGGAGAGAGAATATGACAAATGAAAAAACAAAACTGATAACATACATTAAATTTAATATGAATTACAATCTGGAAAATTACATTAATGTTTTGGATAATAATCAAAGAATATATATGGCTAGATTCAGGACAAGTAGTCACAATCTAGCCATTGAAAAAGGCAGACATACCAATCCAAAAACCCCATTAGAAAATAGAATTTGTAAACAATGCACATTACAGGAAGTTTTAATCACTGATATATTTATTGCTGTAAACCAATAGAACATTTGTAATTCTAAGGATGCAATAAAGTTATTATTATAGTTGTAGAATTATTGGCTTGTTCTAACAGTCTGCTAAACCTTCAATAGTGGACAGTTATTCTCGAACACTGTCAATCTCAGATTTTCACCTAGTTGTTGTACCAGTAGATTTTTTGGCTTGTTTCTAGATCTGTCGTTCTAACAGTCTGCTAACTTTAGAAATCGGACAGTTATCTTTTACCATCTTTTGTCATCATTTACTAGGAAAGTACTCATTCTTCATTTGAAACAGTTTGTTTACATGTACTTGTTTCTTTGTTCTCAACAATGCTGTTTACTAGAAAAGAGTTTTCTAGAATGAGGTTGTTCTTGCATGGCCCAAGCAGAGACTACAACTTCCCCTCAACATTCAAAATGGTACATTTTTATTTTGAGCAGAAAATAGGAGTTACATAACACATGTACACTGTCACACAACCAGTGATGGCGTTGCAAAAAAACACATTTAAAACTCACAGTAGTTATTTTCTAAAAACTCATTAAAGTATGGCAAATCAGATGTTAATGGTAGTTAACGACCTATTTAGGCCCTTGGATGTTTACGAGAATGTCAACCACAGGTAGGCCATTAACTATAGTAAACGTCAACCACAGGTAGGCCATTAACTAAAGTAAACGTCAACTACAGGTAGGCCATTAACTATAGTAATACTACTTCTTGGCTTGTTACTATTATTCTAACAGTACACTAATCTTCGATACTGTAGAACATTCCCCTCACTATTTAAAAATGGTACATTCTTTTAAGTAGCAATACCCTGGATTTTAACCAATGAAAATTGATTTTCTACTGATTGAGCTAAGCAGGTGGTTCGTGGTGGAAAGCATGTCATGTACATGAATCAGGTGCAATTTCTACAGATTGAGCTAAGCAGGTGGTTCGTGGTGGAAAGCATGTTATGTACATGAATCAGGTGCAATTTCTACAGGTCATTGGCCCTTTGTCCTTCTATACAAAATGAGTTTCATAATACATTGCGACAGGGCTGCAAAAAAATCAAAGTTAAACTCCTTATATTTTTCATCAATAAGTTATGCATATTTGTTTTATAAAACAATATCTAGAGTTATATGGGAACCAGAATTGTAAATGGATATGACATAGTGGTAGTGTGTACAAATCTTTTGCAATCTTAACGGTCCCTGGGTTGGAGTGGCTTGTTAGCTGTTGTATATATCTGGTAGCGTGGCTTATGTGTTGGCTTTGAATACAAACAACGTTCAGCACCATCAATGAGGTTTGATTGACAAACCTCATTGATGATGCTGAACGTTACCTACCATAAAAAAAACTTCAATTAACCTCACTGTGATGACTGTAGAATTTGGCTGAAATAAGATAATCAATATGCAAATTAACTACTTAATATGCACAGACAGAATTTGCTCAAAAGTATTTGAGATTTTGCTTATACAGACTGACATACCAAACTCATTACCTCATTAGCATATCACACACACCAAAGCTAAAAACACCTAAAACTCGCCAAAATTGCGTCAAACTACAGCAACTTGGACACTAACGATAGTTAACAGCTTGTTTGGCAACTCGGTTCTATTCATCCCAACTATCAGTAACGAATAACTTCAGTTATTCCTAGCTTCTAATACACACATTGGTAGGCGTTTTACTGTTGTTTCACTGCATCCACCATGCGTAGTACATTCTTGGCTTGTAGAAGTAATGGCATGTCAATCATACTGCCCCGAAAAGTAAATGCACCCTAAAAAATAATAACAGTGAGCAAGTTACATTTAAAAAAAAAATGATATTATATGTTCCTTTTTGTCGTTATCTGGTTATGTAACTTTGTGAGATTACTGCTGATCTATTCAGAGACTGTGTTGTGTCTCATAAATATATACTAGAAATACATGCATTTACACATAAAAATGTGGTTAAAAAGTTACCATAGATGAGAGTAAAGTGACACAGTCTGCATCGCTCTGCATCATATTCAACATGGGTCCCATGCAACGTCTATACGATGTATGTAACATTTATAGTTTTACACGTTATGCAGTAGCTGCAGTTTAGTTGAAGCATATATACAAATTGAATTTAGCAAAAAATTCAGTCAATAAACAAGCTTCTCTCTGATTGGTCTGAATGTTAGAATTGGGTAGCCAATCAGGCATGATGTTGCTTGTAGCTTTGTATTTACTGCATGACTGTGGCACTCCACCAAATGAAGTCTGTTCCTTTTCATATGATGCTAAATGACGCTATCAAAGAAATATCATCTTGTGATGTAGAGTCTTCTATGCACTTTATGTAAATTATCTAGTGTTATTTCATACTTTGAAGTTGGGGTCACTTCACAGAGCATGGAACACCAGGAATTTCATTAATTTGTAATAATCTCCAAGACAACCTGCTCATAGAAATGAGACAAGAGACACTTCCTCAGGGTGTTACCTTTCCACTAGACTGGTGATCCTCAAATGCTTTGACAAGTTCCTGTGCCCATTCTATCTTCTCCGTACTAGGACTAAATGCTTCCTGTACAATGGAAATCTGATTTGGATGAATCACTTGTTTACCTATAATAATTACAGAAAACACAGGATGAAATAATTTAATAATGAAATAATTAATACTTCCATACAATTGTCGGTCAAGAACATGTGCTTGTGTTCGACCGAGTCTGGTTGACGCCAGGATAGCACATTAAAATTGCCATTTGACAGAGAGATGGCCACACAGCCCCGTCATGCAGTCCCAAACATAAATATGACTTCTGTGGCAAAAATGTACTATGTGTCAGCACTAGCACTTGCAATATGCACATACAAAAAAAGAAAAAGTCAGGAGAGACAACAGCGACACCCAATGTCCATAACTGTTGCCTGACACAAAAATATTTAAAAACAAAAATATATTTCCATCCACAATGAATTTAAAAATAACAATAATGAATACAAATTCGTTTTTGTGATGAGTAACAAACACATGTTCATTCCCCTTTCGCAATTTCTAAAAAATCATTTGAGATGAGACAACAATGCCTCCTTAATAATTAAATATTCATTCGTTTTTCTCATTGACAACTGTACAATGTACTCATTTCTATTGCTATGTACCTATTTAAGATTTTATTATTATCATTTGTTTTTCTTTTTACATATACTTTTGTGTGTCGATATTTGCCTTTAATATTTTTTTCAAACATTAATTTTAATAAGTGTATCATATTTTTTTTTCTTTAGTTTTGTAAGTTATATATAATAGTAGTTTTTTAGTGATCTTACTGCTGTACTTTCTGAAGTCAGTGTTGTGTCGATAAATGTATAAGTGATTGGGAGAAAATCTGAAATGATACACACATTCCTGTATATACTGTAATGTTAATTGAAATAAATCTGTTGAGTGCCTGGACTTTTTACCAGCTGTATGTTTGTGAATTACCACATCATTGCAGGATTTGGTTAATGATTTGATTTTAGGTAATGTTGTTACGCCACATCATGTTCGTTATCTCATCGCCTCTTTAAATTATCACACTTCCATATACAGGTATTTTTATTTATATATACTGCAAAATAATTTATTTTAGCTGGAATTAACTTTTTGGGTGTTTTGTATGGAATTTATTTTCATGGTTTTTGACAAGTTGAATGTAAAATATAGAAAAAAAGGTATATTCACTGGATTTTATTGTCACTAAATCATTTTTTCAGCGAAAATTAATTCCAAGCGAAAATAAAGTATTCCAGTATTACTTTTAGTTTGAATAATGAAGTGATCACTTACCAGTGTAACCCATTCTAGCTCCTTCTAGTGACTGTCTTTTCAGACCTTCAGAATCTATGGAAGTAAAAGATAATTATAGTCAATCAAACAACACTTATTGAATACTATTACACAATAGACATTATTTAAAATTTTGCTCAATAATGATTTATTACGTGAAACAGATAAAATGTGGACATCATCAGTATATGATTAAATTTCAGCCCCAGCATGCTATTTTATTGCAGACTTTTAGTGGTTTGGTGAAAGCCTTGTCAAATCAATATCTCTTGAATGCCAAAGACAACTTTCGTCAAATATGCATAATTTTTTTTTCAAAACTTGATCAAAACTTGTAGGCAATGGGAAATTATGTCAATTTATTCTAAAAATTAAAAAAGAAAAAAAAACATACAAATTCAGGGGAAAAACATTTTCATTCAATTTTTTTTATATCAAATTCTGGTAAATCTGTGCATAGTAAAATTAAATGTGATGGAAAAGTATGGAAAAGAAGACAAAATATTCAATTATGACTTTTAATGTTGATATACAATGAGAGGTAAAAAAGTTGGATTCTACCTACCCTTGAAGTCGATGTGAACTAAATCTATTGCTTGTAGTCTGTATGCTTTGGCTGTTGTCACTACTTTCTGTCTGGCATATATCAACTCAGATGCATCAGATGATCTAGAAGCACCTAGTGAATGGTACTTTCAGTTACCGGTAGTTCAGTTGCTAACTTTTGTTTTTGTTTTCTTTGTTCAAAGTATGAACACTAGAAATCAGCTCATGCATAATAAAATTTGCCAAGAATTCACCAAGTTCTGTAAATGCATTAATTTTCACTAGTGTTATGTTTTATAATAAAGTGAATAAACCATTTTCCAAGTCACTGCGAGATCCCGTCCCGTGTTATGAGAGCAATCGAATGTAAAAACAAGACAAACAAAGGTCATAGCGTTGTAGTGGTGAGAAACATTGCGTGGGATTCGACAAACGTGAAAGTATTTTGGGGGATATTTTCATGTTTAATAATATACTGTACACATTTGATGAAGTAAGGGTATTCAAACGCAATATTCTCCTGTCAAAGATCGGCCTTTTGATGTGAGCTACGAAATAAAGAAATTTGTGTCCAAATCGTTTGATTTTTGTGGCAGAAGTTTGGCGCACATCTTTCACGCAACTCATGAAATCTCGCAGTTGAACCACAGTCACTCTACTAGTAGAGTGACTGTGGTTGAATGGAAAATCACCTATGTTGGTCATAAATTCACAGATTTCAATGTGAAATGATGAGTTTCATTCTAATTTTATGCTTTCCAATTTGTTTAGTTTATCAGTGAATAAAGTAAAATTAAAACCAGATGTTTTTTTTCATTAATGATGTCATAGATAAATATTTAGAGGATTATTATAGCAACTAGCTGCTAACAAGGATTGTGGTTGGGTTCGGTTGGCCACATTCCAACTTCAGTAGGATTTCAGCCGAACTTGAACTTAAACTCTCACAAATCAATTGATAACATGAACTGCATTTATTTGCGAACGAAATTCTTCAATGAACTGATAAATACATAAACTTGTAGAACTGACCCACAGTTGAGCACGGACTAAAAACTGGAATACAACTACCTTTTAACTTTAAAAGTGAAATAGAACATTACGGCGATTTCCACGCTGACGGAAATTAACCAATCAGTGACTGCATTCTGAATCAATAATGGAATGTCAGTCAACACCTATGGCTTGTTATGGTTTCAACGATAAGGATGAAGAAAATGGTGGATTTGATGACTTGCTCTGACAATGAAACTCACACATAAACAGTTGATTCTGCAAAGAGAGACACATGAGGGCAGTGCCACAGACATGGGACAATAGACAGACCTGGTTGCTAGGGACATTTGATGAACTGACATTGATGCAGATGACAAAAAACTCACCAATATCAGCACAGAAGTCATCTGATCCAAAAACCACACCATCTAGCATGAACGGGCCATCTTTTGATAAATCCATCCCATGGTGTAAAATTTCTCTAAGATGTATTAACGCTATAGCACTTTCTATAAATATAACTAATTTCATTGGTTGGGATAATTGTCTATCTGATAACACTTCTTTTAACTTCTCAGCTACCTTAAATGTAAAAGAGGGATTTATTATTATGATTTAATATAATAAATATTCTATTCCTTTGATGCATTCAGGCTACACTTTAGGACACTTACAGATTAGGATTAAAGCTAATCCCATATATCTGCGTATAAGCTAAATCCTTAGGTATTCTCAAAAGGGAACAATGGTTATTTTTCCTCTCAAAAGTAAAGCCTCTGATGCACTCATGTAAGTTGCCATGACTTCATCTCAGAAGTGGCTTGATCAGACCAAGCTGCTCACATACACTTTCTTAGGCCTGATAGGATCTGGACCAGGTCTGCGATAGGGACCACATTCAGGGTAATTCGATTGAAAAAACTAGCCCCACACTGGGGACTTTTAATCTTATGACATTTTGTTACAGAAAATTTGACAGCACATACTAATAAATTGACAGAGGAGATTCCTTGAATGTTGGACATATGTGAGAAAGAACATATCAAATATAATGCCTCAATACTGCTCCTCAGGGATAGCTGTATAAACTCTATCTACTGTAAAACATGTCTTTTTCACGAGTATGTCTTTTTAGCGAATTTAGCGAGAGAACTGATTCGCTAATTCAAGATGTCCTTAATGACCTTATTATAAATTCAAAATGGCCAAGGCTTCGGGATTTGTATACAGTATTCGGTACATAAAAATCTGGGGCGCTTCCTAATTACATTTGACAGTTTTTCTTTGTTTTTATGGAGGTGATAACTGCACATTTGTTTTGGACTGCTACGGAAAAGTACTGTGAAAACAGGAAATCAACAAAGACAAGAGAGATTCGCTAAATCAACATTTCGCTATTACTACATTTTACCACAATTCGCTGAAATTGCCTGTCGCTTTTCCAACATATTTTACAGTATATTATAAGAAAACTCACCCAATGTAATTGTTGAGGTTCATTGACCTTTGGTACCATCAAGGTAGCTGGTAATCTCTTAGCTTTCATAATCACCTTCAGATCTTCTTCAGCCAGCGTTGGATTATCTATAGAATTAATCCTCACTGCTCTATCCATGTACGATGGCAATTCTAGTTCATCCAACATTGTACATATTGTATTTCTGGCTTCTTCCTACAGAACAGATGTACATGTATATGAATAATTTATTGTGAAAAAGAAATACAGCAGTATAATTTGGGTTCAGAAAGGTTGCATGTATTTATCAGAATACACTGCAGGATCCAAGCTGTATCCAGATAAAACCTATCCATTTCAAAACCATAGCTTAGAAAAAACAATGCACATGGTATATACAAAAAATCATATTAAATAAATGCATAAAAAACACTTTCATAGATGAACAAATAAATAAAAACAAATAACAAAATGTATAAACAAACTAAACAAACTGACTGCTAGTGAAAGTCACAGCCACAGATAAATAAATAAAAAAACAAATACATAAACAAACAAACAAACAAACAAACAAATAAATAAATAAATTAATTAATTAATTTCCCACCTTTCTGTTGAGGGCCACCCCATCCTCGCAATCCATACACACACAGTCTGCCTTCAAAGTTGGTATTTTCTTCAACTTTCTCTCGTCGTTGCCAGGTACGTACAACATTGCTCTCCTTGGGGTATATGCAGACACGGCAGGAGACTGAATGCACAGTGTTCTGGAGAGGGTGATTGGACTAGCGTCCCGTCTTCTCATTAGACATAAAATGTTTCTCATAGTAGAAACCCGGAAACAGGAATTAAACATTTTGAACAAGCAGTTTTTGAGTTGCGTTGCGTGGCTCTAATAAGGAATATTATGGATATAAATCAACAAAAAAGTCGTCTTTTCAAATTTTTACTGCGATTCTAATCCATCCTTGAGAACGGAGATTGTTGAAGTCCAGCTGATTCGTGACCTGAATTGACCCCACTTTAAACAATGCTATAATAGAGGGCGTTCTTCGTGACATTTCCGAGAAAGGACACATCAACTTCGGAGACTTTGCAGAAATGTTTCTTTTTTCTACCGACGTGTCACTTTACTTTACTCTTTAGACCCTGGACACACACACTTAAATAAGACACAAATATAAATCTCTGCTTTTTGAATTCACTGGAGAAGAGAAGCTTTATCACTGCAAACCAGCAAATATAGTAAACTTCCGGGATCCAGATTTCTGCTGCCGGTGCAATATGCCGTGCCAAATCATCATGGATCACCGGTGAAAACGTGACAGACATGATGCTACCCAGGTTAACAGGTGCTCTCAGAGCTTTCTCCCCGGTTTCGGGCAATATCGACGCACCAGGAGAAAATGACCATGTCGTGCCTAGGTCGAGAAAATCCAGAGGATCACGGAAGGAGGGGATGGGCTGGGATGATTTGTGTTTTATCATCGAACAAAACAGCTTGCAAAAAAAACACGAAGTTACAGCGGAACTACGGAAACTAATGCACACCGCAAGGGAAATAGGTAACGTAAAATGACATCGATGACGTTCTTTACTTTGTGTGATACTAGTAGAAACATTGGGGAAAACTTGTTGAAATCACTTATGTTGAAAATACAGTATTTCATTTATTATCTCCATTCATTTGCATTTTGATTTCTTGAAATCTTGGTCCAGGTGAGTTGGCGTGAGGTACAGTTCGAGCCATACTTAATAACCAATATCAAAAAGTTTCAATTCAATTTAAGTATTAGAGAGATTCTACTTATCCTCTATGATATTTATTCCTTAACCAAATTCAACTTGGAAAACAAATGTAAAGAAAACCACACTACCATACTACACACCACCAGATTTCAACCTGTCCACACCATGGAGGCATACCTCCATAATCACACTTAGCTGACACATCATTTTGTTATCATTATGATCTCAGTTTATAATCTCATTTTATAATCATTTATATGATCCCTGTTTATAATCTCATTTTATAATCTTATTGATGCTCTAAAGAGTAAACAGAACAAATACCAATGAAGATCATATCATCATGCTAGTGATGCAACTACCCTGTTGAGGCACCCTTACATACAATCATACTTACATGGAGGCAATCTGTTTTGATATGAATTTTTTGATTTGGCCTTTCACCCTGTTAAGATATACAAATCATACTACAAGATCAGTGTCATCAAAAGCACAATGTACCAGTACATTGTGTTTGTTTCTGTTAATTGTTAACACTTTTTCTTATTTCCTTCGGCAGTTGGTGGTGATGCCTCACCAGAGACAGTAGAAAGTACAGCAGTGTTTCTGTTTGTAACTTTACAAGGATGTGAGAAGGTTGGCCACCAAGAAACTATTGAGCTAAAAAATAGTCTGGGACCATTCCCGGCCAATGCTGCTTCCCAAGCATGTAGCACAGTGCAAGATATCTCCAGGCATATTCCGGTGGAGGTGCTGGAGAATTTACATGCCAGAGAGAAAAAGCAGAATTTTGAATTTGGAAAGAATATCAAATTCTCGTTTGATTCATTCAACGTTGAAGTTGATGAAGAGGAGTCTGACGACTCTGACACAGAACACTACAACTTCACTATGTCCTATACGGCACCTGTTGCCGAACCGGTTGTCAATAGCAACCATGTCAATAAGCGTAAACCAAATGAAATAAGTGGAAACTGGCTACGATTGGAAGTGGAGAAGTACTACGGTGGGGATGACGGTATGACCGCACAGATCTGGTGTGAGACAATCTTTGATGAACTTTGTTCTTCTAAAACCAATGATGAGCTACAAAATGATGTATGTTTGTTGTCTAATTATATGCATGCCATTTAAATTGATAATTCGTACTATAAACCATTTTCCAGTCACGACAAGATTCATCGTCATGCATTATCTCTGAACAAACAAGGGTCATAGCGTTGCAATGAAACAACAGGAATTATGAACATTTTGTGTTAAAATTTATAAAATAAAAATACACTTATCTTGGAAGCTATCAAGTCATTTGGTAAAGCTCAGATTCAGATTATTTTTTTGTAGTACAGTAGTATTGCCAAATAATTTTTGGTAAGCTGGAACATACCGTAGGTCAAAGGTCATACTGACCACTTTGGAATTATTTGATATTCATTTGCTAAGGCATTGAATTAGTCAAAAGCTATTTATTGGTCATTTCAAATTGCAATCTAGTTTATATTTATTTTTATAAAAAATAGTTAATCCTTCTTGAAAACAATTGTATTGGTTCTTGCTTTTGTTACAGCTCTTTGAACTGTTGGGGTTTGATAGATTTGAATTTATCCAGACCTTGTTGTCAAATCGTCACAAAGTGCTTAATGCTGCTATGAATGGAGGGAATAAGAATTCAACCAAACCAGGTATGTTTCGTGAAATGTATAAAGAATTACGCTCACTTTGTCATGGGGTTTGTTTATGTAATCATAGCATAACCATCAGGTTGTTTGGTTTCCATGGTAATACTGAATTTAGCAATGTATAATATTGCCCCAAATTTGGTCTGCAGATGTACTCTATGTATTAAAGTCAATGTTTACGACTTTTTAAAAAAAACCCACACAAACCAATCATGAAAACCTTATAAACCTTAGTACAGACGTCATCTTTCAGCTTAGCACTGGGTCAAAATAAAAATAAACTCAAAATTCTTGCCTTTAAAACATTACTTCCTGGATAGCTGCTGTGTCTGTCTATGGAGGCAGTGGAATTTCTATACCTACTGGCCTCTTTTTCAGTTCTTCTGAAACAGGAAGTGCTTGAGGGCGCTTGACTTATGAAAGGGGTCTATTTTTCTGTTGTCTTTCTTGTTACACTGAATGGATAATTTGATGATTGTTATGGAACCATAATACATGTATTACTGTAGTCAGTAAAATGTCTTGGTATTGGGAGATTCTTTTGAAACTAGATACATTCCTGTAAAACAAATAGTCGGTTTATCTCCTTATTATTTTGTTAATATTACACATAAATTTGCAGGTGATGGCGATGTATCTAAACCAACTTTTGGATGTCAGGTTACGATTCAGGTAAGACAATATGAATAAATGCGTAACCTTAAAGTGGGAGGGTCGTCACCTGCGCACATGCGATAATTGAGTTCCAAGCGATGATAATAACACGCGCTAAAAACGCAAAGGCTCATGGGTAGACACTTGTTTGTAAACAATGACACGCTATGGCCATCTGATGCATGCACAGGTGACGACTCTCTCGCTTTAATGTATTAGTCTTACATATATATTGTATCACAGCGGATATCAATTATGTCGCTGATAGCAGAGTTCACTGAATTAAAACCCAGTGAAAATGCATAAAATATACTTTTTTTCTTCAAAAACCAGTGAATTTAAACTAGCGAATATATTTTACTATTCACAACAAATCATTGAAATAGATCTTATGCGTATATTGTCAGCATTAAATCTGTTTTACATGCTGAACAATTTTCTATAAATAGATATATTCTTGGTATGATTTTGAAATCTGACAAGTGTAGTTGCTCCAGTTGAATCTTCAGTTCCTAATGTTGTGCTTGTTCATAGACTGAGAAAGAAAAACAGCTAAGAAAACAGTATATGAAGGAAGAGAAGAAGTCTGCAAGGAAAGATGCTAGAATGGAAGAGAATGATTTTATGGATGATTTTGACCCACAGCAGCTAAGATTACAGAGGTACGGTAGAATGATAATGTTTTGTGGATTTTGTGCATAAGTGTCATACTATGGCAAATTGAACTTTATGTTAAACAAACGAACACATGAGACATATTTTTAGAATGTACATGTTAATTAATTTTGGGTTTTTTCCATGTGTTTGCAGCCTATTATCTTACACACATGTTATATCAGTGTTTGAAATTTCTCAAAATTATTGCATTCTTTGCTTTATTATCTTTGTGCCATTTATTCAATAATATCATTTATTAAAATTGCATTTTCAAAATTTTAATTGAAGCATTACAAATTGTCAACAGTCTACTTGGCATGTATTTTCTCATTTGATAATGTAAAGATCATTTTGGCTCTGCATCGATTTAAAAATATGAAAATGTTGGCAAAAAATGTAGTTGTTGTCCTTTTAGGGAGAGACACGTAACACAGCACATCATCCAAATACCATAACCTTGGGGGTGTAGCTACGTCACAGAACGTTCTACGTTGCTAAGACGTGTGCCGCTCTATTGTGTATTTCTGTGGGCTCTGCGTGAGCTGTTGTGGAACGTTGACCAAAGAGCCGGTGAAAACAGCTAAAGTCAAGGGAACAAACTCAACCTTGAAGTACATTAATTATTTGTAATTCTGAGCAACCAAATTTATATATGTTGCACACACTGGGGTTATCTTGTTACACTGTTCAGGAGAGTTTCAACAACTATTCCAAAGTACATTTTTTGAAAGTTATCAGCCTTTGTTTTTCACCGTGATGGTTGCTAAGCGGTGAAAATACCTGGATGTTCCCCCCAAGGATTTGCTTGATTAGAAGAGCAGACGTGTCCTAACTTTTATTCTTTGTTTATACATGCAGCTTACTAATCTTGTGGTACTTTAATTTATATTGTACAGTGCCTCTTCTAAGCCAACAGGATACATCACAGAGATTGTTTGTGATAATTAAATTAGTTATGACTCAATAGAAAATCATACATTGAAAAAGTTACCTTGAAAACAACTTTTCTTTTAGTTGAGGAATTTGCACATTTTATAAAAATAGAAGTCACATACAGTCTTGATTTTTGGGATATTATTTTGACTTGAGATCAGTCTGTTAGAGGATGCACTGATACTATGGCATCTTTGTATACCATGGTGAATAGATTGTGGAAATAAACATATTGATTATCAATGCAGTACACATCTCACAGATACAGTGACTTCCTGCTAAGGTGTTGGGAGGCAAACAATAAACGAGACTTATCAAGAGTTGTGGTTTATCATAGATAGAAAGACTGGATAACTTTTGCTGCTCAGTTGGAAACCAGAGATCAGAATGATGTATTCTTCACATTGCAATGAGTTTTATAGGGCTTTATCAGAGCAGTACCTGCCGAGAAACTTGTACAGTCATGAGTTGACACCTTGAGCCCAGCCACAGACACTGTTTCCCAGTATTTTTTAAGGAAATGACTGCTAAATGGCGATGACATCGACACTGTTTAAAAATCACCAGCCCTGATTGTCTCATACTGATGTTTTAACGACGAGCTAAATACATGAAGCAATTAATTGTAAAATTTGTTTTTTCCAAAGCTACTGGAAGCCATCAAGTTATCCGCGACTTAGCTAATATCGTGACTTTAATACTGCAGTGTGGCAAGGGGTCACTATATACGCAAGAACATTCAATATACTGTAAAATACTTTATTTTAGCTGGAATTTATTTTGTTTTGTATGACATTTATTTTCACTGATTTTAGAGTTGAAGGTAAAATGTACAAAAAAAAGGTGTATTCGCTGGATTTTATTTTCACTGAATCATTCCTTCAGCGAAAATATTGAAACTTAATTGCAAGTGAAAATAAAGTATTTTACAGTAACAACCAAGGAGGAACTGTGCACAAACATCTTTCTGTTTCACAGAATCATATCATCACATTTGCTTATCTTTATTTCTTTGTATTTTTTTCTATTTTTCGCAGAGAAAGGTCTTTACAAGATGCGGGTAAATCAACACTCTTCTCTCGTCCCCGGGTACACGTACCACAACAAGAGCACTATCCAAATGTTTATGACTCAATGATAGAAGCACGTCTTTCATCATCGTTTATTGGCGGCACTAAGGTCAGTTTAATTAATCATTAATCTCATTTCCTATATTAAGTATACACATACTGACAAACTGACATAACTAAAAATCAATGAATGTTTGCTTTGTATTGTATTGTCTCAGCTCATTCATAGAGGGCGCTATTTTGATGATTTCTTATGATTGTCATCTTTTGAAGTTTTTTCTGTCCATATTTTGGCACAAGATTTTGCGTATTATTACATTCATCTCTAATTTCTTTTGGATCAAAAGTAATTTCCATTTGACTTGATATAAATTTTTGGAAATATGGAAAACTACATTTTAGTTTATTCTTTGAATGGTGACAAAAGTTGCCAATCAAAGGATGAAAAAAAAACACTGTTTATTGTCTCATTACTCATAACACATATATGGTAACCCTTAGATTAGTTTCAGTACATATTATAACGTCATTTGAGGACTCGCTATCTTGGTTTATTTCAGATGAGCCTGCCTATTGGTTTTGAAAAGCAGAGTAATAAAATTTACGAAGAAGTTAACATTCCTCCATCTGAACCTGCTCCGGTACACATCGGCAAGAAAAAAATATTGATAAGTGATTTAGATGAGGTTTGTGAAGATTAATTCATACTGATGCACAATGGATGGGAAAACATCTGTCCTTTCATCGTTGTCTGTGTTGTCAAAACACTGTAATCAAATTTTCCTGGTGATAACTTAATTCATTATTGGCATTCTTTTAATATGTTTGTATCCTCAGTTTTTAAGATTCTCAACATTGCTATCGATGTATAAACATGTATTAAAATTATATCATCTATTATTTTATGTTTAAATTTAATGTTCATTTAATTTCACAGATTAGTCAGTTAGCTTTTAAAGGAATGAAATCTTTGAATCGCATCCAGTCAGTCGTCTTTGAAACAGCATATCTCACAAACGAGAACCTTTTGATCTCGGCGCCGACTGGTGCTGGTAAAACCAATATAGCTATGTTGGCAATACTACATGAAATCAAACAACATTTACAGCAAGGTGTGATCAAGAAAGATGAATTCAAGGTGAGGAATATTAGACTCAACTGAGATATGTCAGGGAAATTTCTGTATTTCTGTGCACTTTTCAGTTGTCAACTCTAAACTTAATAGTGTGTTTGCGTTGATGAAATTTTGCGAATTTCGCTGTGACTCCTTTTACGCAATGTACCAATAAACATACGATTCACTGCAGTAATAATGGTACACGAGGAAACTAACTGTGGCGATGGACAACAAGTTGCCTGAAAAGCTGTCATGATGTTTTTTTCAGGTGACATTATCTAATGCATCTTGGCGACTCGTGAGAAAATGTATGCATTGTCAGGTGTCTTTTCTCATAAATTAACTCATGTAAACCGGTATTTTAGTACTTCGGTAAATAATTCTTTTCTCAAAAATTTTATGATTTTCAAGACTTCTGAAATATGAAAAAATGTGTCTCTTTAGAATAGATTGGGAAATAACATATTATCATAATCAAACAAATCTTTTAATATTGTTCTGTTATTCTAATGTAATTTAATACTTTTCTTACACTCGACCTTCATGTATAGAGGTATTTTATACCTGAAGTTATCGGGTTTAAATAAATATTAAATCATATCGACTAAAAAAAAAAATTGCTTCTACTAGATTCTGCCATAAATTCGCCCATCTGAAAAATTGCCTTGGCCGATTTCACGGCTGGTGGGCCCTTATTTGGGGTTTAAAATTTCAAAAAAATGATCATCAAATATCCCAAACCCAAACCAAATGAAACTATTGCAGAAGTTAATTCTTGCTGAATTAAAAAGTAGACCCCCTTTCATTACAGTGTCATCCAACGCATCTTTCTTAAAAAAAAATCACATTAACGAACCTTGTGTGTCAAATGCTATTATTATTTTTTTCATTTTATTAGTAACGAAAGTATATTCTAAAAGAAGTTTCAAATAAAAACGAACACAACTGCATTAGCAAATGATTGCGGTAGCGCAATCCGGTTATGCTGCGTTTCACAATTGTTGATTATTACTTAGTAATGATTATAATAACGTGCAAACAATGCATTCGTTGAATTTCAACTTATTTCATTGTAAGCAAATGATTCCGGTTGCATTTTAAAGGCTCGATGCTGTAGATATAAATATCCGCCATGTTTTGACCTGGGACGATGTTCCTATACCTGACAGGTGAAATCACTAATTAACCAATCAAAATGATGGATGATGCCAACGTGTTCAAATTACCATAGCTCATTTAAATATGTTAATGTTATTGAACGCAGCATGGAAGAGATTTGCCGATGGTGTTGTACAATCTTTTGGCTTGGATTTTGATGGGAAAGTGGCATGATTTGTATTTAAATAAAAAAAATTACTTGTTTTCAAAAGATAAACTGAGCATTTGAAGAATAATTTAATATTGTTTACAGTGATAACAGTTCATTGTCGAAACAAAGCTTATACCAATTCACCCTAGTTGCAATAAACATCATACTCTTGAATAGGCATCAATGACTAAGGTGAAACTTTTAGGCATCAGGAAAGATTAAAATAACACATTAAAAAACTGCTGAAAAATCGCCCTGGACGATTTCTTGGTTCTAATTTATTTTTTTTTAAACCCAAACTGCCGTTTAACAACCCAGGACAAATTTACGGCAGAATCCGGTATATACAATCATATAGAAGTATGATTTCAGGGTACAGCGTAAGTCTGGCTATGAAGAAATGGCACTTGTAACATAGTGATATGTGAGTGAGTAGGGGAGCTATGTGGAGTATCTTTCCTCCGTGATAGCCTTGTAAAGTTTGACTCAAGTTATTTATTAATGTTTTATATATTATCAGATCATCTACGTAGCACCAATGAAAGCATTAGCTGCTGAGATGGTCAGAAACTTTGGTGGTAGACTTGCACCATTAGGTATCGCCGTGAAAGAACTGACTGGTGACATGCAGCTGACGAAATCGGAAATACAGAAAACACAGGTATGTCCATGTGGACATGTTTACAAACAATATATGCGCTTCAGTTCCATATCAATGTTATTGACTTCTGTGTAAGTCCCACAGTTTGTGTATGTTGGCATGTTACACTGGCTGTACAGCAGTGTGCCATGCAATTCAGGTTGGAGATAATATCACTCCAAAAAAATGTCTCTGTTGTGTTGAAAAATAAATAATATTTTGTATATGAGTATCATGTTCATATTATTTTAACTGCAAAAATGCTAATCTTGTATTTCATACAAAACTAATATGTATTATTTAAATTAATAAAATAAATAAAACAATTTAATTTTTCATTTTTCTGTAAAATTTTTTTTTGCCAGATGTTAGTGACGACCCCAGAGAAATGGGACGTGGTGACTCGTAAAAGTACTGGTGATGTGGCTTTGACGCAGTTAGTCAAATTATTGATTATAGATGAAGTGCATCTATTGCATGAAGACAGAGGTGCGGTTATTGAATGTTTAGTTGCAAGGACTTTAAGACAGGTGAGAAGAGGGATTTAACATGTGTAGTGGATAGTTGTCTGGTTCATGAATGTGATGGTCTTGGTTTAACTGTATCGTAGTTTAGATGAATGAATGAAGTAAAGGCTTTTGTTATTCCACCCTTGAACTGCCAAAGTTAAAATGGAATCCCTACATTAAGTTGCGCAAGCTTGTTGACAGCTGGGGAGAGAGTTTGTATACAAATAAAGATTGTACATGGCTGTTGGTTCTGAAGACACAAATTGAAATGTTGTATTTTACACTTTATAATTTGTGTATTAAATATGAATTTCCTTTTTGACATATCATAAATTACATAACTATAGTTAGATCACTATATCAATGTATGATTTATCCATCAAATAATATTCTAGAGCAATAGATATAATACCGGTAGGTACGAGAACAACTGCTGTGATGGTACATATTCACTCAAACAAACTTTATACTTAATTAATTAAGATAATTTTTTATTTAATACAACCATATTGAAATAAATTCAATTTAGGTGAATACAAATGTAATAAAGGTATAACAAACTATTCTAAAAAACTAAAACTATACTTATCATAAAGATACAGTAAAGAAATATTAATGGTATTTGAAGATAAAAATTAAAATATTACATTTCCATGAGTTTTTAACATTGATATTGTTTTTTTGTCGTATATGCTGTTATTATGTATTTAATTAATTCTTTTATCAATGGTCTGCTCTCAGCATTTAAAATGTAAACAAGTTTTTCTGTATTATTTGCTTGAACAAAATTTTCAATTGATTCTGAAAATGTTGTGTATAATCTTATATAATAATACTTTATTTATAGGTTGAGTCCTCACAGAGTATGATACGCATCGTTGGTCTGTCAGCAACGTTGCCGAATTACTTAGATGTAGCCAAGTTTCTACATGTTAGTCCGTACTTGGGATTGTTCTTCTTTGATGGTCGTTTCCGTCCTGTACCGCTTGGGACAACGTTTGTCGGGGTGAAGACGTTGAATCGTATGCAGCAGATGCAGGATATTGATCAAGTCTGTTACGACAAAGCGGTAGATATGGTAGAGAAGGGACATCAGGTAAATATTTGCTATTATAATATATTCCAATTTATTTTAGATTGTATGTCATAAAATAAAACTACTTCTCCACACCACTTTTGATGTTTCCAAATTACAAATGTCTATTATTATATTATTCTCTAATTATGCCCCTTCCTTTCCTGCTGTAGATGAAGCGCTCTTTTGCCGCACAAATGGATGCAAAAATAAACAAAAGTAATGGCATTCATTGATAGCTTCATTTCGTTGTGGTGTTGTTTGTCATTTAAAACATAGAAAATCTCTTAAAAACAGTTATAGGTTAGCGACTACACAACAGAACAATAATGAAGTTGTTAATGGCATTTCTTTTGCCACCTACATCATAGATGCACCTTGTTGCCACATGGCTTCATTTACATGTATTGGAAATTGATCAATTTCCTATCTCATACTTCAATTGATCCACCAAGTGTAAGTCACGTGACAGTGAATATGGACCATTTGTTGATTTTCTGTGTCACATAGTATTTTTGTATGAATACATCATAATTATCCACAATTTTGTCGTCCTTGTTCAGAGATGTTTTTTTTATAACAGAAAGTATTTATTTGATTATCACAAAAAATGTTAGCAGGTCAATGGTTGACTTTAATAAAATAAGAAGTGATGAAAATATGCAGTCAATTTGTACAAACTTAAGACATTGAAATTGTGCATCATGCTGGAACTTTGGACAAGCCTGCATCACTACTGGCCTAATCGAACAACTTATTATATGCGCTCAAAACTTGTAGATACATTAATTTTGATGCAAGTTTATGTATATTCTGTTTCTAGGTCATGGTATTTGTTCATGCTCGTAATGCAACAGTCCGCACTGCGATGAAACTAAGAGAAATCTCAAAGAATTCTGGGGAATCGGGTTTATTTGCTGCTCGGCAAAACTCTCAGTATGGACACGCTGAGAAACAGGTACTGATATTGATTAATAAATAAAGATTAGTTCAAGTGCTTGCAAATTAAGAAATACATCATATTAAAAAACAGTGCATTCACTGCACAAATGTCTGGCATTGTAAGAATTGTGTACTGCTGAATAGTGGATAATATTATTACTCAAAATAAAAATATTGTAAACATAATGCATACACAATAACATGTCAATCACCCAGAACATCTACAAGGTACTAACTTTATTTACTCTGTTGTTTTTGCTTTGAGTTACATCATGCCTACAAAATGAACAATCAGATTTTAAGGGAAACCAGATCATAATATAGAAAAAGTCATGAGCTGAAAGCACTTTAAAGTGTCCCAGTCACCACACTGTTTGTATGTGTGATACAGTAAATGCATTAATTATTTATTATTTTACTATTTTTGCCGATAAGTGAAATTGGCAAATTAAAATCCCACATGAAAATGTCAGATTTCAACATATTATTTCACTGACAAATCTGTGAAACTAAAAACCAGTGGAAATTAATGCTTTTACAATATCAGTTGATGTAACATACATTAACTTTAAATATGTGACAACTGTGGTAGGACACAGTCCTAGAGGGACTGTGGGTAGGAGGAGATTTTAAAACTGGAACAAAGCTTAAATTCATTGATAATAAGTGGAATTAATTTTACTTTTGATAGGTACAAAGATCTCCAAATAAGCAACTCCGAGAGATGTTTCCCGACGGCTTCGCCATTCATCATGCTGGTATGCTTCGACAAGATAGAAATCTCGTAGAGCGATTGTTCTCTGATGGACTCATCAAGGTTCTAGTTTGCACAGCTACGCTGGCCTGGGGAGTAAACTTACCGGCTCATGCTGTGATTATCAAGGTATGAAAATCCCCTAGATTAGTGTATGTGTGATTTGCAAGGTTTGAAGACCCCCTAGATTAGTGCAGGTGTGATTTTCAAGGTATGAAAACCCCCTAGATTAGTGTATATTTGATTATCAAGGTATGAAAACCCCCTAGATTGGTATATGTGTGATTGACAAGATATGAAAACCCTCTAAATTAGTTCAGGTGTGATTGGCAAGGGCTTATCTACGTGATTCATTCCAATTCCTTATAAAATTTACTGTCAGGAGGGTTATTCTATTTTTAAATTATACGCACAAAATAAATTTGCTGCCATATTGGCAGACAAGATACAACACTCATGTGTGACTCACAGTAAGCATATTGAACACACACGCTCAATTTGCCAGACTTTTGTGACTTACGTCTCATACATACTAGCTGTCTGAGTTAAACGTTCACAACCAGCTGACTTTAAAACATGTTTTATTGCTTCTTCAGGGAACTCAACTGTATGATGCACACAAAGGTGCTTTTGTAGATCTTGGAATCCTGGACGTAATGCAGATATTTGGCCGTGCTGGAAGACCACAGTTTGATAGTTATGGACAGGGTACTATTATCACCACTCACGATAAACTCAGCCATTATTTATCACTGATGACTCGACAGAACCCTATTGAAAGTCAGTTTACACGTACACTCGCTGATAATCTCAATGCAGAGGTAAGTGATGTCATATCCTGCTACTGGTGCATTCTGGTCATTATTTGACAGAACAGTTTCCCACATAAACAAACAAACAAAGGAATAAATAAATAAATAAAAAGAACCTCATTGAGTCAATTGCACTAGCTGATAAACTGGCAGGGATCTTGTTTTTTTTGTTTTTTTTTATGCGGTATCTTGCACACGCTCTGTCAGTTGCCATTCAAATTTGGCACATACATTTATTTTATACATGTTAGGATGCATGTCCATGACAATTTGTTTCAAAATCTGGTCAAGGATGGCCGATTGACAACCATCTGACTTTTTGGCCTTACTACTATATTTCCTCAATTTATGTACCATTTTCATTCACATACATCATACGTATCAGTGTGTTTCATAATCAGATCAAAGATGGCAGAATAACGACTGTTTTTATTTTTGGCCATATTACTACTACAGGGAACACATGTTTTGATGTAAATAAACAATCTGTTGTATACGCCACTTGGAACTCAAGTTTCAAGGACACGCTCGTGACAACCCCTCCGCTTTAATATGACGAGCACAAAAGAGAACTTTCAAAAATTTAATGGGGACTGTGTCATTTTCAATGACTTGTATTTTAAATAATTCATGTTTTCTTGTATCCTGTTTTCAGATCTCTCTTGGAACAGTGACAAACATTGAGGAGGCAGTCAAGTGGTTAAGTTATACTTATTTCTTTGTGAGAATGCGTCTCAATCCACTGGTTTATGGCATTGACTACAAGAAAATACAGGTCAGTTTGCAACGGTCGTTTTTCAGATACAATGTTCAGTTCACAATCACATTTGATTGCTAATTATAAATTACTAAATGCTTTGTGTGCTTTCTGCACCAACAGCGGCTATGTCATCTTTTCTGGAAATCTCTCATTGCATATCAATTTTGCAGGAGGATCCCACTTTAGAACAGCACCGTACAAACCTAATCACAACTGCAGCCAGAGCCCTTGATAAAGCTAAGATGGTGAGATTTGATGAACGAACAGGGTATCTACATGCCACAGACCTTGGACGTACTGCTAGTCACTTCTATATCAAATACAATACCATTGAAATATTCAACGAGTTATTTAAACCATATATGACTAGAGAGGAGATATTCTCCATGATATCCAAAGCGGAAGAATTTGATCAAATTAAGGTAAAGTATGCATGTCTTTTCACCACCTTTGTTAATTTTTGTCTCCTTCCACCAAATTGTTCTGTTTGATTTCTGCTTTCCATTATAATTTGTTTCCCTAAACTTTTGTTCAATTTTTGTAATCAAAATCAGATTCTGTCAATTTTATCTAAAATTAATTTGAAATTTGAAAATGACAGAAAACGTGCATAAATTGTTACCCACATTTTTTTGTTCCTACAGAGGGCCCAATGAAAATTACTTTATTGTATATTCGCCTACCCTCTTTAAATAAAGTGTTAAATAAATAAAATTTTGCGAAAAAAATAAATAATTTGCTCATGACATTGTAATTCTACATTGTCTAGGTTCGTGAAGATGAACTATCGGAACTAGAAGCACATGAAGAATTTGACTGTGTAATGCGAGCTGCTGGGGGTGTTGAAAATGGTTATGGTAAAGTCAATATTTTACTACAAACTTACATATCAAAAGGAAAACTGGACAGTTTCTCGCTGGTCTCTGATATGGCGTTTACGGCACAGGTAAGTATCTACCACTTCATTCCAGTGTGTCCAAGAATAAAACTACTAAAACAATATGTTGAGATTTATAATTTTGGAATTATAAGTTTTAGTTTCTTCTTTTAATTTTTGTCTCACCTTTCCATGTATCCTTTGGGATTAATTTCTCACACACACCAAACAGCAATACCTGATATCATACATATGCAAGATGATCTCTTTTATGATTCATTCAAATATGGCGGACTGGTGGCCATTTTGGCTTATAAATCACTAAATGCAGTACATCAATAAAATGTCTGCCAACGTGATGACTGCTTTTTCATTTACACTTTGATTATATTAAAATTTGCTGGTGTAAAATATTTTCATAAATTTGTACAGCATTGCTGACTGGTGACCATTGCATCTAAGGTTTATCCAGTATGTCATGGAATGCATATCAATACCAAACTTTAGTTGTCACGGCGATAATTCAGCAGTTTATTAGCTGATGACCTTCAATCTTGCTTTGTAAGGGACAATTGACTTTTGACCTCTCTACACGTTCACTTTTTACAGAACGCTGGTCGTATAGTTCGAGCTCTCTTTGACATTGCCATTCGGAAAGGTTGGCCAGTGATGGCTGCTTTGACTTTACAGTTAAGTAAGACTGTAGATAAGAGACAATGGGACTTTGAGAATCCACTAAGACAGTTTGGAACATTAAGTAATGATATCTATAGCAAGCTGGAACATAAGAAACTGACGATAGATAAACTAAGGGAAATGAAAAAAGACGAAATTGGTAAGTTTATAAAATGTCTGATATTACTATGATGAATAGATAAGACGAATTTGATGTTTGAAAATTGTTATTGTGATTTTATTGTGATTCTGTTGTGAAAAATAGGTGAATACACACATTTCCATGAAAACAGATTTGTATTTATCAAGAAATAATTATTATGACTGATCGGTGTTATAACAATCACTATTGAAGATGTATTCAAGGTTTTTTGGTGTTTTGGGAGAATTATGCATTTTTTATGCATAATTATGCATTATTTTGCATTATGCAAATAATTATGCATTATAATTATGCATTATTTATATTTATTATTATAATTATGCAAATAATTATGCATTATTTTGGGAGAAGTATGTACTAAATTTCAACAATTTTAACCCTCAACATTTTACCTGTTTTTATTGATTTTTTAAAAACTGTTTTTAAGATTTTTCTCTTGGCTATTCTTAATCAAAATTTTGGAGAAATTCTAAATATTGATGTAGGTTAAAATAAAAAAATGTATGAATGGTAACTGGGGTTGACTGGGGTTTAACTCTGTTAAAATTTCATTTGCTAAATTTGTGAATTATGTTGCAATGTGCATGGATTTACAAGATTTACGTTTCTGAATTACTGTGAATGGAAAAATCATAAAACATTTTCACATTTTCATAATATGAGGATATTACGAGGATACTGCAATGTATGCAGGAAGACGGTACAGCAGGAGTATCAACTGACGAGCAGCAGACGTCGATGCAACCGCATACTGTCTGAGTGCATACTTTGCAGTATCTTTCTAATAACCTTATTATTATACATCTTTTCCTCCCAGGAATACATCATTAGAATGTCGAAATCCAAAACGTTTAGAACACAATCATTCCATATTTGGAATTTGCGTTTCGTAATATGGTAGGATGAAAATACCCAGTACAATACTGCAAAATTACAGCACACTGTAACTTACGGAGTTACGGTGACAGATGTATAATAATATCCTGTATGTCACCCAAAATAATACCAATAAATATAACTTGTCACAAATTTGTATCAATTGATATTTTTTTCTCTATATTACTTTCTATTTTATTGTAATTTTTGACTAGTATTGTCAACCATGTATATTATTTTCTTATTCTGTGTCAGAATCTAGTTATGAAATCTGAATATTAAGCTACCTGTAACTCCAGCCTTGTCAGTGAAATGATTAATCTGTTTGAATTGCAATCTACAGGTCACATGATACATCACGTTCGGATGGGTGAAAAGGTCAAACTGAATGTTCATCAGTTTCCAGCACTTTCTTTGGAAGCCTCAATTCAGCCAATCACAAGGACTGTTTTAAGAGTACGTCTGACGGTGACCCCTGAATTCAATTGGAATGATCGTGTACATGGCGGTACTTCAGAACCGTGGTGGGTCTGGGTGGAAGATCCCGAAAATAATCATATTTATCATTCAGAATATTTTTTACTTCACAAGAAGCAGGTAAGCTATGAAAATAATCAAATTTAACTTTTCTTATTTTTCATTGGATGCAGAAATTAATGTAGAGTATAACAAAAATAGAATCTTGTTATTGAATGTAAATGCATGTACTTGCTCAAAACTCATAATATTATGTTTTTCACTCGCACATTTTGGAATGGGTAATTATGGCTACAAATACATAAATAATAGTATGAGGTTATTACAAGGATACTGCAAAGTATACACGAAGACAGTACAACGAGAGTATCGACCGACACGCAGCGGAGGCCGATGCGACCACATACTGTCCTTATAATATTCTTATTATTATACATCTTTTTCTCCCAAAGAGATACATCATGTGAATGCCGAAATACAAAAAGTTTAGAACAGATTGACCAAACTTCTTTCTGTGGAGTCTGGTCAAACCCTGGGGGCTGCCATGTTTGTTTTTATTATTAGAGGACACTTATACGCATAATGGTTCCATATTTAGAATTTGCATTTCCTTATGTGGTAGGATGTAAATACCCAGTGCAATACCGAAAAATTACGGCACGCTGTAACTTATGGCGTCAGATGACAGATGTATAATATTAATTTATTACAAGAATAGCTCAAAGTATGCCTCGGCCGGGGATCACTACAGCGATACAATTTCCTTGAGTATAATTTGTGGTATTCTCACAAAGTATGCACAAGTACACTGTCTTTGATTGTAATATAGCGATGCAATTTTTCCAAATGCAATCAGTTGCTGTTACATTCTTGTATTTCTTGATCTACAAAAGTAATGCTGTTTTTGTGTGGAAATCATTGTGATTTGTTGTCCAAAAGACCAGTCAAATGCTCACTGCTACAAAATTAGTGATGACTTGCAGAATTCATTAAAATGTGTTTCTTGTAAAACTAAATCATTTTTTTTATAATAATTTGTTACTGGCAATGTATCATCCTGATTTTTTAAATAGGGAACAATCAACTGGCAGGGGCTGTGTAAACATATTTATTATTTTTATGCTACAAGGTATATGCGAGAGAGCCTCAGGAATTAGTATTTACAATACCGCTATTTGAACCACTACCATCACAGTATTAACTGGCAGGGGCTATGTCATTATCTTCATATTTTATTCTCTCTACTAGGTATATGCCAGAGAACCTTAGGAATTAGTATTTACAATCTCGATATTTGAACCACTGCCGTCAAAGTATTAACTGGCAGGGACTATGTCATTATCTTTGTGTATTTTTTCTCTCTACTAGGTATATGTGAGAGAGCCTCAGGAATTAGTATTTACAATCCCGCTATTTGAACCACTACCATCACAGTATTAACTGGCAGGGGCTATGTATTATCTTCATATTTTATTCTCTCTACTAGGTATATGCGAGAGAACCTCAGGAATTAGTATTTACAATCCCGATATTTGAACCACTGCCGTCACAGTATTACGTCAGAGCTATATCTGATAGATGGCTGGGAGCTGAAAGCGTATGTGCTATATCATTTCAACATCTCATATTACCAGAAAAACATCCACCCCACACAGGTGAGCATATTGTTATCTGTCTGATATCTGTGCTTGTACTGTATATATTAATAACCCCTTGATCCATTGAATGCTTGAGTAAACTTACTTCACCTTTCACAAAATAAACCCTAAAAATATTTCGATCAAGATCCACGGTTGAAAATCGAATGGAAAATTATGTTTATTTGATACGAAATTAACAAAGAAATTTTCGGAAAATACTAAATAATAATGTGCAAAATGTTAAAATATTGCGGGGGAATGATTATGGCGTACAATGGGTTAAGGTGGCGGTTGGCACTATGATGAAATAACTGATATCTTCGGGGGCGGAGCTACGTCATAAGGCGTTCCATGTTGATGAGATGCACACCGCTGTATCATATATTTCTATGGGCTCTGCTTGAGCAGGTGTGGAACGCTGGTAGAAGAGCCGGTCAAAAGAGCTTTGAGAAAACAGCACAAAATCAACTTTGAAGCAATTCTGGACAACCAAATTTATATATGTTGGACATGCAAGGGTAATCTTGTTACACTGTTCAGGGGAGTCTCAACAACCATCCCAAAGTACCATTTTCTGAAAGTTTTCGGCCTTTGTTTTCACCGTGATGGTTGCCAGGCAGTGAAAATGCCAGAATGTACGCCCGAGAATAACAACATTACAAAAAGATTGATTATGTTAGTAATCGTGAGCAGTCGTTGATGGCATACTGTCTAAATTTAGTTGTATTGTATGCATGTATTCACACAACATTTATTAGAACACACTACAAAGAAATGGGCATTATGATTATTCTCAAATACATGTACAGCATATTCACTACGTTCAATTACCTACCATAGACTCCGGTCAGTCAAAATGACTATTTTGAACTGTAGGCATTTATCAGCAATTCTGCCGGTGACGGAGAGATAGAATCTAGGTCAGGGGAAGCCCCATGACCTCAAGATTCTTTTAACCCTTACGTCACGAACCCAGGTGACCGAGGCCACATGGCAGCGCCATAGGTAGCCGTCAATCACTCTTAATTTTTCTCCGCCTCGTCGGGGAATGATTCTGAGCAGCTCTGCCTGGCTCTGTTGCTTTTCCTGTCCGGGTTTCTAGCGTGGGTCGTTGCCGCAGCCACGGCATCCGACATTCTAGCTGGTAGGATTTTTTTCTTGTCTTTTTACCCTCGTGTCGTTTTCCCCTTTGTGTGTTATGCTTTTCCACAACAAAGAAATTATAACCCGGCGCCACTACGTAACCACATGTTGGTTTTCATGGCGGCACCTTTTACAACTGTAATTCGTTTCCCTCATGCATGTCGTCTTTTATTTACAATGTATTTAGCAATATATAGATGTAATGACAGCACCAGGGCTCGCTGCCATTTTCTTTCCGGTCTCCTCGTGTTTCGAGTCGACTGTGCAGTGGTTATATTCAGAATTTACCAGCATAGAACCCACATACGAGATACTTTGTCGTAGCTACGTGCGGGGTTCGGAGTTTTTACGTGAAGGTGTGTGTTTTTTCACTGGAGTTCTGAGGCCTGAGATTTTCTTTCAGAGCCATCAAAGTCGCTGAGACTGTCCGCGTCACAGCAAGGTCGCGCGTCCAGTAAACAAATCGATTGGAGCTTGAGGTACCGATATTTTTCTCGGTCTCCCCCGCTGATCGGAGGGCATCCTCACAGTCTGTTTTTTCAGGCGGTGTTTTTACCCGATTTTACCGGCTGCAGCGAGGCTGTGCCCCTGGAGGCTTTCCTCCTAAGGGGCCCGTTGCAGGTCTCTTTGTGGACGCTTCCTCACACGATGCCGGGTTTGCCTCCGAGTTGAGGGCTTTGGTCAAAGGACTGTTGGGGCAATTGCGTCCCTGGCAGGCCGGATAGATCAGACGCAGTCGGCTTTCAGGGCAGGGCACACTTTGACGCCCCCACTTTCAGCCAGCTAGGGTTCGTCATGCAGTAACAGTACAACGGTAATGAATTCATCCTTGTGTCCGGTCTCCGCTGTGGGTTTTGACTCCTTTCTTACCGACCCACGGGCGTCCCCAGAAGGAACCGACCCTGTCATGAGACGCACAGTCGAACACGCTCCCTCTCACATATTTAAAGTGAATGAGGACGCAGTTCGCTCGCGTCAGATACAGCCGGTACTCCGGGCGGTCCCTCAGAATCTTCCATCTGTATGACTCGGTGAGCCACGCTTTTGGGGTGAGGCGGAGTATCATCGATCCCGGTGATACGATGTAGATACCCCCACCCTTGATCCTAAAGCGACCACCTAAGGTTGCTTCAACGCTTATGGGATCACGGGTGTCGGGATCCAAAGCAACCCCATCGGCACGTCTCTCCCTGTCCGTCTGAGTGCGGAGTGGGGCGCAGAGCACTCAAACGGTGTTGATGGGCGGCGTTGGTCAGCCGCGGAGGATGTAATGGTCGGTGTGGTTTCGGGATCAGACCCTATAGCGTGGGATGAGACCAAAACGCCCCCACGTGTTCACCAGAGTGATGAAACAGGTAGTGCTGCTGCTTCACCAGATGTCGGTACACCTCAATTCGTACCCAGACTACTGGTTACTAACAACCCGGGCAAGGGGTTAATAGCCAACTGCGTCAGGCTAACACAGGATTTACTTCACCAGTTGGACTCGTTAGTAAATCGACAAGTCCCACCTCGACCCAACGCGCAGTTGGTGTCCCTGGGCATGGAGTTTTGACACAGAGGTAAGCTTGGCTTATCGAGCTTGTTGCTTAGCGCTAAGCAGCCTAGCCGAATGCCTAGTCAGCGTTCCCTCAGTGTCCCTCTGGGAACTAATACAGATCATCGGAATGATGACCTCAGTTCAAAGGGTTGTTCCCCAGGCCGCACTATGCAGCCGCCCGGTATAACGCTTGTTATATGGGAACTAGATAGGCGGGTTACGTTCTCAGACCAAGTGAAGGAAGCCCTGCCCTGGTGGTCGTCACTGGCCAACCTCGGACAGGGGTGCCCCTTGGACCCGCTCGCCGCAGGTATGACTCTGGCAACAGATGCCTCTCCCAGGGTTGTGGAGTGCATCTATTGGACCAACAAGCCCAAGGATATGGCCCTGCATTAGTTTCGGGACTACCATATCAACCGGCTCGAACTGAGAGCAGTGTACTTAGCACTACCATGCTTTCTACCCGTAGTTCGAGACCACAGAGTCCTGCTCCGCACAGACAACGCAGCGGTGGTCTCCTTCAAGAAGGAGTGGGGGACGCCTTCCCCATCGTTGTCAGTCCTGGTGGAGCAAATCCTCCTTTGGCTTTCGGGGACAGCACAGGCAAGGTAAAACACCACCCTTTTTTGGGTCTTAACTAGGGTGTTGAGTTTGTTTTCATCCCGGACTGGGAAAAGACTTTCATCATTTTTTCTGTTTGCTCGGAAAAACACGCCACCTATCAGTGTCTGACTCTGCCTACAGTTCAAAATAGTCATTTTGACTGACCGGAGTCTATGGTGGGTAATTGAACATAGTGAATTTAGGCGAGAGTTCTTCGAACCCGCCTACTCCGGGTCCCCCCAAACCTCCCCACTCTGTCCGTCGCGTTGGTCTAAGTCCTCGAGGCGGAGAGAAAAGAACCAGAGTGATTGACGGCTACCTATGGCGCTGCCATGTGGCCTTGGTCACGTGGGTTCGTGACGTAAGAGGTAAAAGAATCTTGAGGTTATGGGGCTTCCCCTGACCTAGATTCTATCTCTCCATCACCGGCAGAATCGCTGATTAATGCCTACAGTTCAAAATGGTCATTTTGACTGACCGGAGTCCATGGTGGGTATGAACTATGTGAATAGGCAGATTCGGAGAACCCTCGCCTAAGTCTGGGTAGTACACCATTCAAATAAGAGACAGAACCAAAGTGCTTGTATGAATTGGTGTGTAGGCTAAAGCAGTACCATTCAAATCAATAACTGTGTTTGATTGTGTCATCATTCATCATCTAGAAATGGTAAAATTTCTCAAAAACCTAATTTTCATTAATGGACGGCTACCGATCAAAACGTTTTCAGTGATATATTAAATGACACTTGGTCACTAGAAATCACAACTAATACGAAAATATGTTTCCAAGTCAACGTATTTCATGCTGTACAATACACAATGTTTCATGTTTTGCTAAACGCTGATTACGAAAATGTTTAGATGATACAGTATAGATAGCTCCTCACCTCTGCCCCCAGTTGTAGATCGTTCATTTCAAACTATTGATTTTTAATATGTTTGACTATATTTCAGAGCTACTCGACCTGCAGCCCCTGCCAGTGACTGCACTGGGAGACCCACAGATGGAATCCATGTATAAATTTACACATTTCAATCCAGTCCAGACACAGATCTTTCACACTGTGTATCACACAGATTACAATGTCTTACTGGGAGCCCCGACTGGATCGGGGAAGACCGTAGCCGCCGAGTTGGCGATGTTCAGAGTATTCCATCAATATCCTAAAAGCAAGGTAAGTTAATGTTATAGATTTCTCATGTTATCAATCAGATTAGTCTTCTATTACTGTAAAATCTGTATTAGAAGCCGCATCTCTAATACAAGTCGCACCCATTCTTTTTGAAGAATTGAGAACCAAACATTCCCCTATGTGTAGATGCTCTAATAGAAGCCGCATCCCCTCTGTTGTATTATAACATTTTAAACAAACCACAGCTTCTAATACAGATTTTATAGTACTTGTTTTTACTTTTTACGCAAATTAAATGTATGGTTTAAAAATTAGGGATATTTCATGATCAAAAGAAAGGTCACTTGCACAGACTCGGACTGTTGCTACAAGCTTGCTACAAGATGGCAGCGCTCGTAAAAGCTCAACTGGATTCTGTGACCATTTTGGAAAGTAACATTTATGTATATCATTGGAAAGTAACATTTATGTATATCATTGGAAAGCCATGTAATTCAATATTGCAGCTCAAATATGAGTATTTGTGTTGTGACTCTATGTGACCACAGTTTTTCAATAATATTATTTATTTATTTATTTACCAGTGTGTGTATATAGCACCTTTAAAAGCATTGGTTCGTGAAAGAGTTCAAGACTGGAAATTGAGACTCGAGAGTAGACTCGGTAAAAAGTATGTTATGATTTATTCATTCTAATTTATATAATAATGATTTAAATCATTACGAAAATCTGTCAAATAAATTTTGTTTTGGTTACAAAAATTTGAACAAATACGGCACATAACTCATTTTTAACTCGTGATTGTAGATTAGTGTCTAAGGTTGTACAGGAATATGATTTATTGAATCAAAAACGTCACAATAATGCACTGAAATATTACTGTCATGCGTGTTTGGTTTATTTTTAACAAATATTGGTGGCGTTCACTCTGATGTCAACCAAAAGGCATATGATCTTAGATAAACAATGAATTTTGACAAAAGTTGTTCACAGGATTGAAGCCAAATATAATTGTTTGTGTTTCTAGGGTTATTGAATTGACAGGTGATGTAACTCCTGATAGCCGAGCCATAGCAACCGCTGATATCATAGTAACAACACCTGAGAAGTGGGATGGCATTAGTCGTAGTTGGCAAAATAGGAATTATGTCCAACAAGTCTCATTGCTGGTAATAGATGAAATTCATCTCTTAGGTGAGTCACCTGGAAATTGAGATTGAACTGAAAGGCAGAACTGTCATCAGAAATGCTGCGTGTGTGTATTTTACCGTATCATTATTGTTTCTCTTCTCTTTGGGTTGGTCTTTACTTACATCACATTATATGCTGTTCAAAACATAAACAGTACTTTATCGTTACAATAAAATCTGTGACAAAGAATGATACACACTTTTGACACTGTATCCGCAAAACTCTGACATCATTTTGAAGATGAGTGAAACACTTTTGACACATGTCCCCAGCAAAACTCTGACATCATTTTGAAGATAAGTGAAACACTTTTGACACATAGATGAGTGAAACATTTTTGACACAGGAATTTTGCTAAATCATTTCCTTGAAATTACAAACCAAAAAAATTTATCATTTTTTTCATATTTTTTTCAAGATTTGTAAGCAATACGAAATTATGTCTATTCTGTCCCAAATCATCAAACAAATTATAGAAAAATACATAAAAATGTGCAACATGTAGGACAAAAATGTTGACAAGATAAAATATAACATTCTATTCTGTTTCATTTAGGTGATGACAGAGGACCTGTATTGGAAGTTATTGTATCGAGAACTAATTTTATATCATCACATACAGAGAAAACACTGAGAGTGGTTGGTTTATCCACTGCACTAGCCAACGCCAGAGATCTTGCTGATTGGTTGAGTATATACCAGGTGAGTCTTATTGCATGTGTGTCCCATGCAACAAAGATGCACATAGCAACTGATATTAGATGACGAGGTGTATTGATATGCAAATTAAATACATGACTTGACAAAAGATAATTATATATCTTGGTGAAAAAAAGTACCAAATGTGTAGTTGATGATGAGTGAAAAACTTTTGACACTGTACCCTCAAAACTATGACATTTACTGCACAACAGTGTGCTCTCTAACAGAACAAATGTGGGGATTCTGAGTCGAAATAAAATCCTTCAAAATCAAGTTTAGTCAGCTTGTTGGCTCCTGAAGAGGAATATATTAAACTAAAAAATTTAAATTGAATGTGACTTTGTGGGTGATTTGCGGCACAGACACAAATATTGAGGCCCCTGATTTCCTGATGTTAACAGATATTTTGTTTGTAGAATATCAATTTTATTTTACAAATTTTATGATTTTCTTTTGTGTCAATGATGCACCATCAAATCTCTATGCTTCAGTGTAGCATCGTATCGCCTTAGAGTTGCGCACTGTTGTCCATCACTATATCCTCCTGTTTTTTTGTTACTTAATCCATAAAACCTTGATCATTTCATTTCATAGGTTGGTTTATTCAACTTCAGACCTTCAGTACGACCAGTTCCACTGGAAGTTCACATCTCTGGTTTCCCAGGGAAACACTACTGCCCTCGCATGGCAACGATGAACAAACCAACATACCAAGGTGAGTAAAACCAAGGTTGGATTTTTAAATAATAATAAACATATTTGATCTAATGAATATTCATTAGTTGTTCATACTCCAGGAAAGGTATGCATGAATATTCATATGATCTGATGAATATGTCGCACCTCTCGTTTCTTTCCTCTGCTGTTGGTGTAGGGCCAGCTAGCTCTGGGACCCCACTGGTGAGAGTATACGATAGAATTTTATCTTCAGAGGCGATTCGTGGTGTCACGAGTCGGTATTCAAAAATGCTTTGATGGGTTGAGTGATGACTCAAAACAGATACAGGACAGCACAGGAAGCAATAGGCTGACAACAAAATCTCAGTTACAAGTCAACATGAGCATTTAATAAATAAGGCAAAATATCAACAAAATGTGTTAAATTTCATACACAAACGTTGTATAAAAATGCACAGCAAAACTCAGCTCATAGCTAGATACTATGCAGCAGTCAATAATAACTATGTTGGCAATATAATATAACAATATAACAACTATCCAAGTTCAATATCACCGTAAATGCACTTCAACAAGCCTTGCACTGCTATAAGTACATAGCACAGGTGACAATATAATAAGAAATACACACTAAAGATACACAATAAATTGGCTATATTCAATAATATCAATGTAGGCAAGGTACACATAAATAGGCTATGTTCAGACTAGTAAACTTGCCACACTCGAATGAAATACAATTACTTTTGTGTCAATAAATAAAGAAAATCACACTATTTAGAATAGCGTGCAACCTGTTGCCACTCACTCACACAAACGCATAGTCTTGCTACGTATAATGTCAGCTGGCTAAAAGTAGAATCGATGAACGCAAAAGGAAATTCGAGCGGCACAGAAATATATTAAGAGAAACCCAACTAAACACAAATGGGTAAAATTTCCTCAAATACTGTCACCACCTAACACAAGTGACCCCAAATATTAGTACAACGTCTAAATGCAAGCAATAAGAAACAACAAACTGACATTTGAGCTAACAAGACACTGACGTCTCTCACGCGCATACACAGATACACACAGTGACAAATAAAAAAGGGGAAACAACCCAAGAAAAGTCTGAATAAACAGAAATAAGTGCACTGATAAATAACTCACAAGTCAATGTTCACTATTCGGTCTTTAGCTGCTTTTCCACGTCAGAACACATAAACGGCGATTTCCTGGGGGATTTCTGTCACAGCGAGGCAAAACAACAATATACGGCACCACAGGAACAGCAAGATTTCACACACTAGACTTCATACACACGTACTTTACATACGTTGCGCTGTATTACAACCAAGTCCGACTCAATTTCCTACAAGCACTTGTCGCAAACAATACAAATCATGTACTGCGCAATGTTCGTGTCACGATAAGCCTGTCCAACACTCACTCTTCCCCACAGCGTTTCCGTTGCTTCCTGTCCTTCGTTTTTGTTCCAGTTCCTCCGTCCTCGCGCTGTTTCTCCTGTTTCCTCCTTCTCGCGATGTTCGTTCCTTCATTCTCGCGCTGTTCGTCCCTCTCGCTAAGTTCTGATCTAGCGTTGAAGCGTACTCAGCCCATTGCTATGCGCGAGTCACATCATTCATAACAACTTTGTACAGATTCCACTGTTTCCTACGAGGTTCGCCATGATCACATGACAGTGTTCTAGAAGTAAACAACCGATGATGGGCGAGACCATTCATGAAAACGGGGGATGTCACTATCACACAAGGTTGAGCACAGCATACAAACTTACAAAAAATGTGGCAACAACTTACACAAATCTCACAACAAGGGACAGGAAGCGACTGTTGCCCCAAAGTTTACAAGAGAAAACTATGGGTGCGACAAATATTAATTATTTGCCACCACACCAGAAAATATACTCATGCATATTCATTATTTTCCACCACACCAGAAAATATATTCATGCATATTCGCATGATCTAATGAATATTTATTATTTGTTGTCACCCCAGCAAAGATACTCATGAATATTCATATGATCTAATGAATATTCATTATTTGCCATCACTGTAGAAAATATACTCATGTATATTCATATGTTCTAATGAATATTCATTATTTGCCATCACTATAGAAAATATACTCATGTATATTCATATGTTCTAATGAATATTCATTATTTGCCATCACTATAGAAAATATACTTATGTATATTCATATGTTCTAATGAATATTCATTATTTGCCAACACTATAGAAAATATACTCATGTATATTCATATGTTCTAATGAATATTCATTATTTGCCATCACTATAGAAAATATACTCATGTATATTCATATGTTCTGATGAATATTCATTATTTGCCATCACTATAGAAAATATACTCGTGTATATTCATATGTTCTAATGAATATTCATTATTTGTTATCACTGCTATTTTTAACTCCAATTTATTGAATATCATTTCTGATATTGTTTTCAGCTATTACAACACATTCACCAAAGAAACCAGTACTTATATTTGTATCATCTCGACGTCAGACAAGACTGACAGCTTTAGATTTGATTGCATTCCTGGCTGCAGAAGATGATCCAAAACAGTGGCTTCACATGCCAGAACGAGAGGTGACTATACAGCACACAGCACCATGCATGAGTCTGATTGTTTAAGGTCATGTGTGCTTGTTCTCAAACAGTCCTGATTGACAATTAGTTAGCATGTTAAACTGTCACAATGCAATTATGATTTTGAGATGGTCACACAGCTCAGCTCTGTCATGTAGTTTAAATATTAAATATGGTTTCTATGGCAACTTGCTTTGAGCGTGTGAGAAAACATTCAGTGTTTGAAGCTGTCAAATCTAAATGTCATAATGGTGTTGTAAACTGTGTATAAATGGTTGTGCAGAATGACACATGGTTGCCATCTTTGACAGGGTTGGGAAATCATATGTTGGTTATCTTGGAAAGGCATTGGGGCATAATATGGTGGCTGTCTTTGATAGGGATAGGGGCATAACTCCATGGTTATCTTTGAGAGGGATCAGGGCATCATGTAGTGGCTTTCTTTGACAGGGATCAGGGCATATCATGGAGGTTATCTTTGAAAGGGATCAGGGCATAACTTCGTGGTTATCTTTGAAAAGGATTAGGGCATAACTCCATGGTTATCTTTGAGGAGGGATCAGGGCATAACTTGGTGGTTATCTTTGAGGGGGATCAGGGCATAACTTGGTGGTTATCTTTGAGGGGGATCAGGGCATAACTTGGTGGTTATCTTTGAGGGGGATCAGGGCATAATTTGGTGGTTATCTTTGAGGGGGATCAGGGCATAACTTGGTGGTTATCTTTGAGGGGGATCAGGGCATAACTTGGTGGTTATCTTTGAGGGGGATCAGGGCATAATTTGGTGGTTATCTTTGAAGGGGATCAGGGCATAACTTGGTGGTTATCTTTGAGAGGGATCAGGGCATAACTTGGTGGTTATCTTTGAGAGGGATCAGGGCATAATTTGGTGGTTATCTTTGAAGGGGATCAGGGCATAACTTGGTGGTTTTCTTTGAGGGGGATCAGGGCATAACTTGGTGGTTATCTTTGAGAGGGATTAGGGCATAACTTGGTGGTTATCTTTGAGAGGGATCAGGGCATAAGTTGGTGGTTATCTTTGAAGGGGATCAGGGCATAACTTGGTGGTTTTCTTTGAGGGGGATCAGGGCATAACTTAGTGGTTATCTTTGAGAGGGATCAGGGCATAACTTGGTGGTTATCTTTGAGGGGGATCAGGGCATAACTTGGTGGTTATCTTTGAGGGGGATCAGGGCATAACTTGGTGGTTATCTTTGAGGGGATCAGGGCATAACTTGGTGGTTATCTTTGAGGGGACCAGGGCATAACTTGGTGGTTATCTTTGGGAGGGATCAGGGCATAACTTAGTGGCTATCTTTGAGAGGTACAAGGGCATAACATGGTGGTTATCTTTGAGAGGTACGAGGGCATAACTTGATTGTTATCTATGAGAGATACAAGAACGTAACTTGGTGGCTGTTTTTAGAATGAGGGATGATCGTCATATAGGGGCTATCTTTGAGAGAGCTGGAGAGTGTAGCAGTGACATGATAAATTTGACAAATAATTTTTCTTTTTTTTCATAGATGGAGAATTTGATTGGTGGTATCCGTGACAATAATCTAAAACTTACCTTGGCATTTGGTATTGGTATCCACCATGCTGGCTTACATGAACGGGACAGGAAGACAATAGAGGAACTGTTTGTCAACCAGAAAATACAGGTGAGGCTTGATTATTTTATTTTCAAAAAAAGAAATAAAAAAAAGTGTACTAATGCATTTTTGGTCAACTGCTGTTTTCGATTTATCAGGATTTTTCTTGTCTGACTTAAAATTAAAAATTAAAAATGCAATGGTGATTGATTTGAGTGAACACACAATGTTCTAAAGTTGATGACTTCATTCTATCCACAGATTCTGATAGCTACCAGTACACTAGCATGGGGTGTCAATTTCCCAGCTCACCTAGTTGTCGTTAAAGGAACAGAGTACTATGATGGGAAGAACAAGAGATATATGGATTTCCCTATTACAGGTCAGACTCTTATCAGACTTGTATTTCAAAAAAATTGTGTATTGTGAAGTTAATATATTTAAAAAATACATTTTTTGTAATATTCGCATTATTCAAAAATGCAAAACATGTTCATGTAATACATGTTTTGGAATAATTAACCAAAAAGACTAGTAAAAACACCCAAAAGACTAAAACTAATCAGTTCTTTCTCAATCTCCCTCAAAATTTTGTGATAATTTTTTTTCAAATGATGTCAGATTTTTGTTGTATATCACAGTACTTGCAAACCTCATCTTATAAAACTTTGGTAAATTTAATATTTGTTTTGTAGATGTTCTTCAGATGATGGGTCGTGCTGGACGACCACAGTTTGATGACCAGGGTACCGCTGTCATATTGGTCCATGATATCAAGAAACATTTCTACAAGAAGTTCCTTTATGAGCCTTTCCCTGTTGAATCCAAGTAAGTGTTGTCTTGGTGATGATATTGAAAACTAAGGTCCTAATGAGTTCAAGAGTGAATCAAACTAAGGGTATATAATTCTCATGTTGTAATGTTTGAAGATCACATTCAAACCATACACTTAATGAGTGTTCTGGTAGTACATGATAATTTGCATGTTTCTATATTTAAATTAAAGCTGAGATTGTATCCAGTCGTGACAACAGCGAAAAAAACCACCATTTCTTGTTTTTGATACATGTGTCTGTGTAATTGTGTCAACACATTTTGGGCTACACAAATTTATCTCCAAATATTATGCATAGCATACTGCTCTTAATGTGTTAATTAAGCACCCTCAATAGAAACTCACTAAAATTTAAAAAAAACAAAACTTTGTGTCTAATATTTCTCAAGTGAGGAAATCATAGATATATGTATTTTACACAAATGTTTCACAACCAATATGTAAGACATTGCTATAATTTCCTATTCAAATTCATTTTATCGAGGACTACAGATGTTGTATTTTTTCCCATGGAAAATAATAAAAATATTGACCAAAGTAACTTTTCTCAATAAATGTTCTATTTTTAGTTTACTTGAGGTACTAGCAGATCATTTGAATGCTGAAATAGTTGCTGGTACAATCACATCAAAACAAGATGCAATGGATTATATTACATGGACTTATTTCTTTAGAAGATTAGTTCAGAATCCAAGGTAGCAATCTTTAATTGTTTTTATACATTTTAATCCTAAATCAACATTTGTCACCTTTTATGATGAAAACCGACATGATTTTTTACATTTTAAAATTGTATTTATTTGGACTGGAAGTGACAAGTTAAGGAAAATACATAAAAATAGCAGCAGGAAAGATTATGGCATAAAGATAAGACAATAGAAAACACAGGGACAGGAAAATGTGTTTTTATTTATGAGTAAATATGTCTATTTGGCAACAAAAAAAAATTATAGAAAAATACAGACAAATGTGCATAACATTATGCAAAATTTTTGGTAGGAAATAAAATGCTTTCAAAGCAATATTCTGGAATTATTTGTAGTCACTTGCTGACTTCCTCTAGTAACCTAATGTATGCACATATGTAATTTTATTTGTCAATAAGCTATTACCCTTTTCACCGACAGACTTTCTCGCCCAAATTTTTCAGCACTTTTTTCTCATATTCTTTAATATTTCTGGAAATGAACCCTAATTTTGGAGCCAACAAACAAAATTTGAGTCAATTTTCAATTTTTACTCAAAAAATGTAGTTATTTTTGTCTTAATCTTCTGAAGGAAAGTGCAGACTATAAACGGGACTATTTTGTGAATTTGTGATGAAAAGAGGGATCTGATTGTAAAAAAGGTTTAGACTTGAAAACTGAATTATTCTGTCATACTATTCATATGTATGTAAGTTGCATACAAACCTCCATGAAATCATTAAGTATGCGCATATATAATTTTATTTACAACTTGCATTGAATATTATTGTCTTTCAGTTACTACGAATTAGAAGATGTTGAACATGACAGCATAAATAAATTTTTGTCTAATCTCGTTGAGAAAGCGCTGGTGGACTTGGAGTCCTCGTATTGTGTTGAAATCGATGAGGTATGTACATGTTGTGGTGAAAGGGTCAAAGGTCATAGTCCTGTTTAGCAATTGATATTATAACACTATGTCACTACAATCAATTGGTAAGATACACTTGTAGCAAAGTGTGAATTCATTTTTATCTCGGCTCATTGCTGCTGTGATATTTAAAATTATGGTCTTTGTAATTTTGACAGTGAAGAAGTGTGATGTGTTCACTGCCCATTCAAAATATCAAATGCTTTTAGTTATATATATTTCAGGGATTGATTCATTATTGACACTCACAAAATAAACTATGAAAACCATCACTTTATTTGTTTTTATTATGCTATATTTCTGCTGTGTTACAGGACAATCGTGGTATCCTACCCCAAACTCTAGGTCGTATTGCATCATATTACTATTTATATCACAAATCTGTGCGGTTGTTCAAAGAAAAACTGACGTCAGATTGTTCAATACCAGAACTTATTTCAGTCTTAACAGTAAGTGCATTGTATTCTAGAATCATGAACGTTCACAATGTATTTTCTATTGATTAAGTTTTCTGTGTTTTTTACCTGAATAAATTAATGAAAGATTTGAACTTTGTTTCACTTGTTAGAGGTAACATGACAGTTTAACTTTTTGATTAATGAGAATCATCTTCAGAAATGTTTGTTGCTTAGCAACTCTGTTGAGGTATACCTAATTAACTGCTTAATTAGCCAACACGCAACACCCTCCCCAGTTTTAAAGAAGAACCTGTCGATTTCTCAGGATTGCACAACGGTATCATGGGACGATCTTGTTATGTTGTTCGCACTTTTAATTTGTGTTTTGTTTGCCACTGTAATTTTAATCTACCGTTAAAATCATATTATAAACCACATACCTAATAGTAACCGCACCCCCGATTTTGGCTTCAGTGTTAAGGAGTTGAACAAAAATTGAAAACATGAAAAATACTTATTACTAACCGCACCCCCAATTCAACAAGACCGTGACTGACTTTGTTTCAACCAGCTGGTACATTGTTCCTAATCCTATTCATTTGTTCCGACAACGTGCCTAAAAATATTCACACCTCTTTATTGTTCAGTAGTGTTAGGATGTCAAACACACAGTGAAACTGCTTTCGTTCTTGGACAACTTTTGTCAGTACTCCTTATGAATACGTCCGTGTGTCGCAAGTTTTCGACAATGAGCTGTTATCACCGAAAAGCTGTTAAATTCTTTTTCAATGCTCTGTTTATCTTTCGAAAACAACTAATTTCTTGATTTAAAAAAAAAGTCATGTCGTTTTCCCATGAGTTTTTTTGTGTGCGTTATTATAATCACTACTGAGTAATAATCAACAATTTCAACACTTATTAACACTTAAGTTATTCACTTGTGAGCTGAAGCATGGCCGGATTGCGATACCGTACTTTTTTTAGTGCCGTACCATGATCATTTTCTACTAAGCAATACATTAATGTTTGTTTCTATTTGATACTCCTGTCAGAATATACTTTCCGTTACAAAGAAAATTAAAACAATAAATGCATATTACATTAAATATACTGAGTATTTTTTTCATGTGAACAGTTTTTTTTTGTGACGTGATGCTTACCACTCTTCCCTGACATTTAAATTGTATTTTTGCTCATATTCAAAAGATTGTACGGTGTATTGTTTGTTTTGTGCAAGTGATGTGGGAAAAATATGACCATGCCCATTTAGTGATTGCAATATGTACGTAATAGAAACCGCACCCCGAACTTGAGCTGTTGATCCCAATTTTTTATTTGATATATTGTAATATAAACCGCGGTTTATAATAGGATTTTAACGGTAGTATTAAAGTGAGTTTGCTGTGAGATTTGGCTTAACTGGAGATGCCTCTCAAGTCAATAGTAGATAATTCTCAAATAGGCAACGTTTAATAGCCTTTCAATGTTTGATTTTAAGAACACAGATCTATTAACCTTTTCACCACCAGTTCCTTCTTTTCATCACAAATTCAAAAAATAGTTCCATTTATAGTCTGCATTTTCCTTCAGAAGATTGGGACAAAAATAGCTCAATTTTTTTAGTAAAAACTGAAATTGACTCAAATTTTTTCTGTTGGCTCCAAAATTTTGGTTCATTTCCAGAAATATTTTAAGATTATAAGGAAAAAGTGCAGAAACATTTGGGCGAGAAAGTCTAATGGTAGTCATTTTGGTCTATATAAAATACTAAGTATTAGTGTTCTGTTAATGACAACAGTATATCATATATATATAATAACATACTAGTAAATGTTTTTGTTTTTTGCTCAGGATGCCCATGAGTATGATGAGTTACCTGTGAGACATAATGAAGATGCCACTAATGGGTGGGTAGACCATGCATGCTTGTTAACTCCATGCCACTAATGGGTGGGTAGACCATGCATGCTTGTTAACTGCATGCCACTAATGGGTGGGTAGACCATGCATGCTTGTTAACTGCATGCCACTAATGGGTGGGTAGACCATGCATGCTTGTTAACTCTATGCTACTAATGGGTGGGTAGACCATGCATGCTTGTTAACTCCATGCCACTAATGGGTGGGTAGACCATGCATGCTTGTTAACTGCATGCCACTAATAGGTGGGTAGACCATGCATGCTTGTTAACTGCATGCCACTAATGGGTGGGTAGACCATGCATGCTTGTTAACCCCATGCCACTAATGGGTGGGTAGACCATGCATGCTTGTTAACTGCATGCCACTAATAGGTGGGTAGACCATGCATGCTTGTTAACTGCATGCCACTAATGGGTGGGTAGACCATGCATGCTTGTTAACTCTATGCTACTAATGGGTGGGTAGACCATGCATGCT